CCATTATTGTAAAAGTCAAGGAAAGGTTTATCTAGGGAAGGAAATTTTCTTCGTTGGTTACCAGGGGTGGGAGGGGAGGGGAGGGGAAGGAACACTGTTAGATAGGTAGAGATAAGTATTGATTTGGGTGAAGAGAAGAGCACATGTACAAAATGTGAGTGATCAACATGGTGGCATCGAGGAAGAGGAAGACATAGAGAGGTACATGGGAGGTACAAACAACAAAAATGAACCCTTTTGCACATACAGTACTGCATTGTCAATGAAGGCAAACATGGGTATACAGGTGGATAGATGGGTGGACAGGCTGAACGAGTAGGTATGTCTATGAAGCGGGGAGTGTACCCAAGATCATGTATAAGGTTGGAAGACAATGGTCCTATAAGTGTATTTATATGAACTGAATTCCCAGGTGTATAGTAGAGCTGACAAGGGACAAGGTTGTAGTCACTACTTGGTCACAGCCAGCTACCCAGAGGGAGTGAGTAGTTGAACCTGTGGGCTCGGGACCATAGTCACAGGGGACATCAAGCTTAATTGGCATAACATACTACACAAAACATTGTTCCACCTCCTACTTTGGTGAGTAGCGAGTGGGAACTTAAAAGCTTGCAAGCAGTCATCTAGATGCAACGATGGGTCTCTCCTCGTCTAGAGCAAAGAAGAATGAAGAACACCAAAGGTTCATGGAAACAATTAGTCCTAGCAACTGGTACACCACACAATCTACAGCCTTTAAGACTATGAGACAGAAGCACTAGATGGTGCCTGGCTACCACTGTCAACCACTCAAGAGGGGGATCCATGGAGGAGATCCTGGATAGAGAGGGAGAAAAATGTGGAACAAAACTCAAAATCATTTGGAAAAGAAAAAAGGTGGGGGGGACCAGGTTTGCTGGTCTGATAGAGCCTGGTGGAACCCCTGAGACTATGGCCCCTAGCTGGAATTGATCTGGAATTGAACCCATACCTGTGGCTTCCAGCCAAACAAAAGACAGGCATAGGAGTTGAACATTTACTTGAGGTAGATACACTCCTTGAAGAGAACAATCATGGGAGAAAGAAGGGCTGTTTATGCACAGGGAGACAGCTCAGGGGGCAGGGGTGCATGGAGGGATGGACACAGGGAAGAGGTGACTCTTGGGAAGAAGTGGGAGGGGAGCTGTTACATTGTGGTGAACTGTAGTCAATGTCATGAGACAAAGTGTATGTGAACTGCTGTATGGGAAGTGAATGTGCTCTGTCAATTTTCACCCAAATCACAATTAAAAAAACAAAAAAACCTACTATACAGCCGGGTATTGGTACAATGACAGACACAAAGACCAGTGAAACAGAACTGAGAACTGAGAACCCAGAAATAGATCAATCGACCTATGGTCACCTGATTTTTGACAAAGGGCTGAAATACATTAAATGGGGAAGAAGTGGTCTCTTTAACAAATGGTGCTGGCAAAACTGGATATCCATTTGCAGAAAAATGAAACAAGATCTGAACCTCATAGCATACACAAAAACTAACTCCAGATGGCTTAAAGACTCAAATGGGAATCTAAAACTATAAAGTTTGTCAAGGAAAAAATAAGGGCACATTTAGGAGCCCTAATAGGGCATAAATAGATTGTCAAGCATAACCCAAAATGTACAAACAGCAGAACTGAAACAGATGAATGGGATCTTCTTAAAATTAAATTTTTATGCACTTCAAAAGACCTCCAAAAGAGTCAAAAGAGAACCTATAGATTGGGAAAAAACAGTTGGCACTGACATATCTGACAAGGGACTTATCTCTAGACATTATGGAAAACTCCAACACTTGAACAACAAAAAGACAAATAATCCAATTATAAAATGGGCAGAAGACAGGAATAGACACTTCACCAAGGAAGATATTCAGGTGGCTAACAAACACATGAAGAAATGTTCACTATCATTAGCCATTAGAGAGATGCAAATCAAAACAAAAATGACATACCATCTTGCCCCAGCACTAATAGCAAAGTTCAACAAGACAGAAAATAACAAATCCTGACAAGGATGTGGAGAGATTGGGACTCTCATATACTGCTGGTAGGACTATAAAGTGATACAACCACTGTGGAAAGCAGTATGGTGATTCCTTAAAAGTTAGAATTAGAAATACTATTTGATACACAATGGTCTAGCAATCCCATTACTAGGCATATATCCTAAAGAAGGGAGTCCTGGTAGTGTAGTGCCTAAAGCACTTGACTGCTAACCAGAAGGCAAGCGGTTCAAACCCACCAGCCCGTCCTTAGAAGGAAGGTTGGGCAATCTAATTCCATAGTGATACTGCCTCAGAAACCCAAGGAGGGGTCACTATGAGTCAGGTCCAACTTGACAGCACATAACAACAACAACAATCCTAAAGAAGTGAGAGCCAGGACAAGAACAGATACATGTACACCCATATTCATCGCAGCACTATTTACAATAGCAAAAAGATGGAAACAACCTAGGTGCCCATGAACAGAAGAATGGATAATCAAACTATGGTATATACATACAATGGAATACTACGCAACTCTAAAGAATAACATAGAATCTGCAAAACACCGCATAACGTGGATGAATTTGGAAGACATTATGCTGAAATAAGTCAATCACAGAAGGACAAATATTGTATTAGTTCATTATTGTAAACAGTCAAGGAAAGGTTTATATATGGAAGGCAACTTTGTTGGTTATGAGGGGTGGGAGGGCAGGAGAGGGAACACTGTAAAAGATTTTTTTTAACTAATAATAAAAAAAACAATTTGCTCTGTAAACTTTCACCCAAATCACAATAAAAATAAAATAATATGTATTAAAGAGAGAAAGAGATAGAGTATTTCAACTTAAAGCTTTATCAGTTTAAAATTGTCAAGTACCCATGGATGACTAACACACTAATCCTTACCAAGAATATAGATTTATTCTGAATATATTTACCAGATGGCAAAAACAACAAAAACAAAAGCCAAAGGTGTGGAGAGGTGAAAGATGAGGACAGATGTACAATTGCTCACTGTCCCTGAAAACAAGAGCATTCTCTTTTGAGGGTACTACACCAAAAACAAACCCACTGCCAGAGAGTCAGATCTGACTCACAGCGACCCCTCCTTGGGTTTCCGAGGCAGTATCACTACGGAAGTAGATTGCCCAACCTTCCTTCCAAGGAGCGGTTGGTGGGTTTGAACCAGCCTTCTGGTTAGCAGTCAAATGCCTTAGGCACTACTAGGCCACCAGAGTTCCTTATTTTATTCAATGAAAATGGGATTGGGTGTTAGGTTCATGTGTACATAGTCCAATCTGATGGGAATGTTTAAAGTCTATGTCACCTGTGTTGAGGAAAAGCTCAAAGTAACTATTGTCTCAAAAACATACACACAAAACGAAACAACAACAACAAAAAAAAAAAAAACCTTAACTCCTCTATCTGAAGGCTTAGGTAGAAAACAGGATGACTTAACAGTCTTTACCCACTGCCATCAAGTCAATTGTGACTCACAGTGACCCTACAGGACAGAGTAGAAGACTTCCCCACAGGGTTTTCAAGTCTGTAAATCTTTACAGCCCAGTCACCCACAAAGTGACTGGTGGGTTCTAAACTGACCTTTTGGTTACTAGTCAAGAGATTCACCAGTGTACCACTGGGGCTCCTCAAACACCCTTTGGTCAAGATTAAAGAACAAGTTGCTGGTCAATCAACTCTCACATGGTATTGAAATAAGTAACTAAAAACAAACCATTACAGTATTGAGGACATTACTTTTCAGACTCGAACTGTTCTTTCTTCTGCTTTAGGTCGTCTTCTGTTATTCCTCCCAAGTGTTTATAGTTGCTCTCAGCAATTTCTAGGAGATGTCTCAATTCTACAATTTTCTTATAAGCTCTCACTGCAAGACAGTTGAGTAGGAAACTGGTTTAGACAGCTATCAGCTCATGTGTTCATGGCGTTCTACTGGTCTTTTGGAGCATATTCTTCCTCTAGAGCCAAAGGAAAGTTTGAGTGGGAGGAGGGAGAACCATATTCACACAAGGAGAAATATCAGTAACACGATATTATAATGAACAAGCAATGAAATATCTACATAGAGGATTCTTTCCCTGCTGTTAAAGTATACGTCAGATTTCTATGACTATAAAGACAATTAACAAGTATTTCATACAGGACCATGCATAATCAAACTACTGTATATCAGGAAATAAGAAAATTGAAATATGCTTGAGTTACTTAATGTAAATCAGAACTATCACTTACAATATCTATGTAGAAGGATAGTGAGAGCTGCTTCTAGCTACTCTTCAACTATCAACACATTTTCACATCCTTTATGGCAGTAAACCAACGTACATTTCACAGTATCTGGAGACAATTTTACTTGTCACAACTGGGGGTAGAATGCTGCTGGCATCTAATGGGTACCGGTTAGTGATTTACTAAACATCCCACAATGCACAGGACAGCCCTCACAATAAAGAATTATCTGGCACAACATGACAATAGTTCAGAAGTGGAGAAACCCTACTTTACAGGATGTTAGCAAATCACAGCTTCTCCCTAACACCACTTTAATTTAATCTGCCAAATGGTTAGAGCTGCAGTTCCCAAACAAGGCTATGCATCACAATCAGTTGGGGTGCTTTTTAAAAATGTAGGTGTTGACAACCAGAAGATGGCGGACTAGGCACAAGGACTGAACAGACGCTCTTCAACAAAGAAAAGGGAAACCAATTAACACAGACACAGAAGATAATCTTGGA